GTTAACAACAACAAAGGTTGCCATAAGTCAGAAATGACTTGAAGGCACACAACCACCACCACAGTGAAATGGCTGTCTGTACATTACCAGTATAGATGAAAGAATCTGCAGTTTACTTCTGTACATAGAACAGAGGGGACACATTGGCCAGAATCCTGTAAGTTAGTTCCATGTAGAGCAGAGCTGAGTCAACTGTTGAATGGTGAGTCAGCATGTAGGTAAATCCAACTGATTCAATGGTTCAGGATTATCAATAAGACCTAGGTTATTTTGTCCTTCACCTCAAACAGTAAAATGTCTTGGACCAGCCCTGGCAGAACTTAGTTCATTCCACCTTGTATTTATGACATAAGGTAATGAACTACAGTTACTGGATAAAGGCAATTCTGCTTCCTCAAAAGCTTGGGGTGAAAACAGCACTGTTCCTCTCATCCTTTTTTGTAGCATCTCTTGGTAAGTCTCATGAATAATCATGGAAGCTGAGCTATGCTGAAAGACAAAGATTTCTCCAAGGTCAATCTGCAACTTCACAATGAGATGGTGATTTGAATGCTCCCATTGAAGCAAAATGTGTTATCCACTACCTCACAATGTCCCACCAAACTAACCCTTGCAAGTTCTTGTAGTCTTGCAGTTCTGTGACTTGACATACCATACCCTTGGCCTTTCAGACACAGGTAACCTCCTGACCTTGTAGTTTTGTTGTGACTTGTGCATGTAACATCTCTTGTCTCCTTGAATGAAACTGTGTGGCTCCAGAAAGCCTTGCAAATCAAAGGGAGAGCTTAGCGCATCCTGATTCACCCATTTGTTTTAGGACATGTTTCATCATTCCATATATTACTCTTATTCTGACTTGCCCAGCAATTAAAATTACTCCAGAATGAGTGGTGTATGCTTCACCATGCAACTGCAATATCTTCAGTCTCAGGTATTTTGTATCACACAGGATGTTCTGATCCTTCACTCTTATGGCTGCAATGTGTCTATCACAAGAAGAGATCCACATTTTTAGAGCCATGGGACATCAAATTTCACTCATGAATTCCTTCCAATGGTCACCTTCCACCAGCAGAATGAACACTACTGGTGAATCAAACTCCTCACCACTCTTCAGCCAGTTCCAAAACCTCAAAGTTTTATGAGAGCGTTGGGGATGCTTAGGAGCAAATCTGAAGAGGCTGAGCAGGTTTGCACCAGGAAGGAAGGAAAGAACCCTTCAGTTTTGCTTGTGTAACTTTTTATTTAGTTCAGTGATTG